CCGTCCGATAATTTAATCAGCTATGGACCAAACGTATTAACGAGGCTGTCGATCTGATGCGAGAGTTGTACTTTCTAGCAGAGGACGACGTAGACTTGTCATCCAAGACATGGTATTACGCTCTTTCTTTAGAATTCATACTGGACGCGGGAATAGTACTGGAATCATATCAGACGTCTTATAACTATTATATGAATATAGGTAAGAAACGCAGCTTTCTAAGTACGTGTTAGAATTTCTAAAGAATTATTTATGAGATGTGTTTTGTATGCGAAGCTATGCGTAAAACCGTTTAAATGCTTAAATATGATTATGCAGTTCATAAGTCGAAATCATACGTATGGCGTGATCCAGAAAGTTTGTACCGTTTATCGATATGCCTGGGTATATATCAACTTAGAATGTGAGCACTCAATAACTCTCCTATTCCGCTTTTATCGTGCAGAAGTAAAAAAACTATATTCAATGAAAAGTTGTGTTTGGATTGTATCGCGTAGTTCGAAAATAACTTTTAATTTCGAACTATTTATTTCTCTTTTTTTATCTTTGCACGATTAAAAATGATGTCTAAGGTATTATTTGATATATCACGATTTAATTGTTGCTAATTGAAAGATGCAATAATATAGGGGATATACCGTTACGGTTAATGCATTTGAGCACAGAACGGAAGAATACACGAAGGATATTAGCTGGGATCACTTTTCCCGAATTTTCTCTTGTAGTAAAGTATGTCGGTAAAGTTTTGAGCTTTTACATATTTTTTTTTCTTTGTTATATATATATGATTTGAGAGACAATTCTATTATGGAGTGTAAAAAAACTTTACGCCTTAAAATGCATCATTTACAGAGGCTTGAATATTATTTGTTAACATTGCTGCGTCACATTAATATAAAGCATTCAAATCAGCTGCTCGATCTGATTGAAGATATTTACAAAGTTATCAAATGTCTGAAGAACGTTTCTAATAAGACAATGATTGTAAAACCGCATTTCTATCTGCTGATGGCATACTTGAATGTTCTTCGAGGTCGCAAATCGACTACGCAACACTATTTGCATGAAGCGCAGAAATTCGCGACCTCGCAAGGAAACAAACTGATAATGGCATGGATCATGCAGAATAGAAGGGTAAGCTTGATTTCAAATCTCCTTTATTCAGCTAGTAAAATAGGATAAAATTAATTAAACCTTTAATTTAATTACTTAATGGTTTTGCAATGGCGGTATATAATTGACAACTAATAAACAATTCGCAAATTTCTGATTATGCAGACGTGGAAAAAGAAAATTTATAATAATATGGCGCGATACTGGTTGGAATACATTGGATCCGCAGATATTGTGGCTTGGCAGTACATTCGTGACTTTAACATCGACATCTGGTCCACTATTCTTTATTCTTTACCGACGCCTGATTCATATTTATAGCCGAAAATACGAAAATATATCTTATCTATTATCATATCGTTATCACTATATGCCGATCTGTTGCAATGTCTAGTTTTCAAACAATGATTAACTTTATGGATGTTGGTTGAAAAGCGAAAATAAATATTATAGCGAAATATTTATTTATTAAAGGCATATTACATTTCTACGAGAATAAACACGACGATCCCCTCGTGCGCATGATATTTTATCAAGATGAAATCTTCTCAGTTCTTTCCTTTTTTTTTTCCAATGATCTCCGAGCGTGAAGAATCTCGATCGCAACGAAATCGTCGCAAGTCTGCTTAAATACGATGATCTCCGGCAGTTACACTTAAATCTCGACGATTAATTATTACGTATTGCGATTTAATTAATTGCTCTATTTGGCCGAATTTGGCCGAGTACGCCAAGGATGTTTACGGTATTCGAGATAGAAAGGAAGAAAGAGAAAAGAAGAATTATGAAAAAGAAAAAATGAAGGGAGAACACAAGAAAAGCGGAAAGAAAGACGTGCTGCTCGATCGATTAAATTTTTCGATCAATTTTCTTTCCGACTTTTAAAGAGACAGACGAAAGAAAGTAAAGTAAGTTTTAATTATTCTCCGTACGACCTTACACGCGCGATCTTATTGCTATATAATATTTAATTTTAATTAAATAAATTTAATTTTAATTAAATAAATTTAATTTTAATAAGTTTAATTCCGTAACCTATACGCCTGTGTATTGTTCTCCAATTCAAACCACTTTGTTTCCTACATCGACTAACATCGACACTATTGTGACAACATTAGCCGAGTCACGATTAATAATTATAAGAAATTGACAAAATTTTCATTAAACAAATAGTTCACATAAACTGCTTCTTTATGTGTTAAATATTTTTTTTCTTTTTGCTTTTCTAATCAATTGAATATGGCTCTGTATCACAGAAAAAAATTACTATTATTACTATCATCAATTATCATTATTAATTAATATTACTATCATTTTCATTGTAATTAATACTATTCTCTAGGTTATAGAAAATACATATTGTTTTTTAAAATCCTTTACTTAAGGTGCTTGCTAATAATGTTCGGTCGTAGATGTTTTTGCGTTTCAATGATTTTTCGAGAATTGAAGTGCGTATTTTGTATAGCTAGATAATAATCGTAGCCGATCGAATTCACAAATATAAAACAGATCCCGTCTATCGGGTTTCTGCTTGGTTACAATATATAACGATATCTTGGCGAATATATAACGATATCTTAATTATTTCGAATAATGATCTGGCGTAAAGGAGAATTTTCTATTCTTTTCAATATAAAAAAGGACTTGCATCGACGTACTCGGCCCGAATTTGTCCGCTGGACACGCGCGTGTAATACTTGAAATTACTTATCCGAACAGAAGAGTGTCTCCCTTCGCGCGCTATCGCATTTCTAAACAACTCAAAAGTCCAAAAAATGTATATAAAAAAATGTCTAAAAGGTGCGTTAAGCACGTCTGACAGATTTGAGTGTTTTTTAAATACTTAAAAGATAGCTGTGAAATATTAGTATACCTTTCAGATGTCCAAGAAACTTTCGTAATATTTAGGGACTCTTTTAGATCTCTGGCATCTTTTAGACGTTTGCGTTGTTCAAATTTGCTGCTCGTTCGACGGGATATTTCCCGATCGCAACGATGATTGAAGCTTTCTTCTACACGGTTCATTCATGGGCGTCGACTTCGTTGTCGATGCGACTGCTACGTATACCGGTCTTGCCTGTCCAGGGATAAATATCCGGGCATGCTTGACAAGTCTTCATGTATCTCACGCCGCTCTTGTGCCAAAGATTACAGACTTTCGCATTGTTGCATCTCTTGGGTCGATCCTGCGTACATATTCACGTGATGTGACAAAATACTTAAGCTGTAAGATATTGCGCATAAGAATGAATTTTTTCTCTCAAACATCATCGTTATTATTAAAAAAAGATTTTCAAAATCGCAAAATTAATTAATATAATTTGAATAATTGGTTTCAAGAATAATATTTAACTATTTTGTAATAGCAATTATCTCACATACTTTAATTAATTGAAGAATTGAGCAAATTATTTGTAAAATACGAAAGAAAGTCAGCTTTCTTGCATTCAATTTATTTTGAATTCTATGCATTCAGTATTTTTTTAATTCTCTTCTAAAAATTTTTTTTTGGTTTTTTCCTTTCGTATTAAAGTCTTATTCTAAAAGTAGAGTTAACAAGAAGTCTTACAGGATAATGGCATCCAAAAGGTTCGAACGTGCTCAAAAGAGACAGTGGTGTCGGGTTCCTGATCCATTGTAATGCCTGCCAATTGGTGATTATCCATACGTCGTCCATCGCGACGATGGTATCAAGAAATGATATAAAGCCCTCTTTATGATGCGGTTGTGTAAACCATGCGGCATGATAGAACAGACCGAAGGGCGCCCTAGAAAATGCAATCAAATTTCGTATTTTTTTCAAAACAGGTCAATTTCTCGCGCCCTATCGAACTCACGAGCATCTTTCATCAATCAATAATTAATGTATCTCAATTAAAAAAATTTGTTAAATGTCATATGTCGTTTTATACAAGCGACGAGATTTAAAAGTAAAATTAAAAAGAAAGAGAAACATCGAGATGTGGATGTTCACGATTCATCGATTGTTGTTCTCTGAACAATTGCGTTCGTGGATGCAAACTAATTTACTAACCTGTTAGTCGTGTAATGCCGCTCGAAGTTCTTAATAAGCATCTTGTATACGCCGTCCGGAGTCGGTGGGTTACTGCAGGCATCTCCCATGGAGCATCTACCTCCATTGAGATCTTGCCACATTACCATAGGAACTTCCCACAATCCCGGATAGGATCTCGTGGGACAGGGTGGTATCATGCAGTCGTGGAACAGCTTGTAGTCCAATGTATATGGCCAGCTAGGTGGTCGGTTCTCATAAATGGGCATGGACGAATCGTACGTGAAGTTCGTGTCCCAGAGCATTTTGAACATATTGTTTCCTCCGACCTACGCCACGGGAGTAATGCTTAGTAGATTCTTACGTGGCGATTAATTAAGTGCAATAAAATCCTGAATTATAAATCGCTCGAAGCAGGCAGTTTTGATAGAAATGATTTTGGGAGGAGGATCGTCATCGTATATCTTTCGTGCGATATCTTTTGCATAAAAGTACTCATTACCGATAAGAAGGGAGCCCTCATTCCTCTAACATCTTCTAGTTTGACGCCTCCGTATGCGGCCAGAATTTCTCGCTGCCCAGCAACCTCTCGTCCCCACTTTCGCGCCGAAAACTGTTCGCCGAAACTGTGCCTGTTTGTGAAAATCAATTGGCGTGTCGATTATTCGAGCTGTGAAAAGTCAATTCTCACCGATTCTAAAGTAGCTAACGATACACGCTGGAATTATTTTCTTTTTTTAATGCATACACATCGAAAAAAAAAATAAAAATAATTGCATCGCGTAAAAAAGTTCCTTGTTTCCAGAAAGTAAAACGAGAAACTTTAAGCTACTTCTTTTCATTTTTGTCTAAAAGTGTAGAAAATATTTCGTAACCAAAAGTAGATCTTTTGGATCCCGCAGATTCAATAAGATCGGATAAAAATCTCCGAACGTGTGTCGTCACATTCCTTAATTATTCGATGTTGCGTGAGAAGCGAAAGCGATTTTGATCCAACAAGCGATAGTTATCGTATGATTTGTTAACTCCTTCATCAGCGACACAAGCTAGCGTTAACTGCCACACCAAATGTCACTTCAAAAATAAATGATTACAGTTTGATATCTTTAATGATCATTATTAATTTCCATCCGCGTGGTATTAGTACGCTGATGATACAAGTGATTGTCATATAAACATGATTTCACAACGATTCAAGGGCAAGAATAATTGGAAATCTCATTCATTAGCTGTTGTACATTTCACTGATATTATCATTAATATAGATCAGAACGCGCATGAAGGAACAGTTTGATTCGGGATATTTAATTAGCCATCGATACAGTTAATTGCAAAAAAAACTAAATAATATATCGTAAAGTTTTTTTCAATAGAATGCGGATAAAAATTTCATTATTTCGCACGGCGATGATTTTCTCCGATCGACACGAGAAGTTCGTATGAGAACTGCAGCTACTTACGAGACCGTGTGGGAAGCAATCTCGTGGCCCGAGGCATAGAGATTTTGAACTTGGCTGTAGTCGGTCCACTCGTGGGACACGTAGAACGTGGCCGAGATGGGACATCCGTTGGGGTTCTTCCGTCCCTTCTCGAACAGGTCGGCGTAGAGACCCTTGTTCAAGTCGTTCACGGAATCGTCAAAGGTCAGGAGAACAATTTGCGGTATTTCTTCCGGCAAGTAGTCACCTGTTTCGTATCGGGGTTGCGTTCAGGATCGGAGACAGCACGGAGGAGGCAAGCGGGCGCACGGAAGGAAAATTGGGACACGCGTTCGAGATCGTATTCGAATGTGTGTTGTGTGTGAGAAATTGTTTTTGCCGATGTGAATAATTGGTACGAGTTTTTTCGAGCGTTTTTTTTTTTTTACTATGTGATGTGTATGTGTGAAGATGTACCAATTAGAATAGCGCGTGATGGGAATGAGGAGCACGATGAAGTGTGAAAAGAGAGAAAGAACGAGACAGAGAGAGAGAGAGAGAAAGAGACAGAAAACAAGAGAGAAGTTAGTACATGCGTCATTAGTATACGACACAAGTATCGCACGCACCTAGTGAAACCGCGGTTTACGACGTGTTACTATCAAACTTTGTGATCCCTCATCCGAGAGATCCGTTGATTTCTTATTTGATAAAGATACACTTGCGGTTTCACTGGGTGAATACGATAATTTGTGTTTTTAATCAATCTCAACGGGGGATCCTCTAATTATACGTTGCTGCTTAATTTCTGAAATAGGCGGTTAAGTGTTTGCAAGAGCGGTTCTTTCGAGCGATTTTTCATCTACCTCTAAGAATTAAACTTAATTGAGTTATTCTTATTTAAGATACTTGAGGATAAAGAAATTTAAGGAATTCAATGTTTGAAAAGTTGAAGTCTCCCAGGATTGAAACAGTGAAATTTGTCTGATCGCGCGAAATTGGAGGATCCCTCGCAGAAAAAGTGAACTCGAGACCGCTCAAGACGTCGTCCGAGAAGGCGGTCAAGTAGCGCAAGCGACGACAGTAGAAATCAGGCGTTAAAACGCGCGCACGCAGTCAATGGAAAGACGATAATGACGAGTCAGTGCGAGCTTCGTTCTTCCACTTTGGTTAAAAATAGCGCGCAATGCCCGAATGTTAAATGAAACAGCGCTCGCGCTTCCGCGTGTGATGCGATATGTCGACTTACGAGACTGTGTGTGACGCCATTTCGTGGCCGTCCGCATAAAGATTTTGCACTTGGCTATAGTCTGTCCATTCATGCGAGACGTAAAAGGTTGCCGTAATCGGGCAACCGTTCGGATTCTTACGGCCATTTTCGAACAGATCGCTGTATAGAGGTTTGTTAAGATCGTTCACGGCGTCGTCGAAAGTGAGCAGAACGATCTGCGGCGTCTGCTCGGACGGAATGCCACCTGTACGTCACAGTTGCTTCGTGTAATTCATCATATAATTGTGATACCGACACGCCGAACATGTTTCTGAGATAAATGCACTAATGAATGATCTGCTGGACTTTCCATCGCTCACTCAAATCAACAAGATTGATATTTATTACGATAATGCTTGACGATGCTATAACATGACGATGCTTTTGTGAAAATGAGAACATGGCCCGAGTCGAAATTTTGACTCTACATTAAATCTTTAATTCTGCAAAGTGGAGAGCGAAATAAATTCAGTCCCAATAGCGGAGCTATTCTTATTTTAATTCTAGCGATAACAAACTTAAATTTCCATTCTTTTGTTTTTATATTTAAATAAAATAACCGAGTATTTCGCATTCTTTCTGCAAATTGTTTCTGAATTTTGAAGAACAACGCACGCAGCTGAGCGTATATCGGGCGTAGATCTGTTTCACTTTCGAGCGTACCGTGTAACGGCCGGGTATGTATGTAACATTAGAGAATCGGAGAAAGTCATGACGAGAGAGAGAGAGAGAGAGACCGTCTACGCGTCTAAACCGTTCGTCAAACTTAACATTCGCGGCATGCGATCGACCGCCGCCTTTGCGTCACTCGCTGATTTTTCGTCTGACATTCATTGCAAGTAAATTACAGTCTTATTATCTCTTGATACGATAATCGATTTCTCGCTGGTTAATGAATAATTCGGCATTGTCAGAGACAAGATCTGTCTGCTTTTTGTCACGAAAGTGTCCCACTTCCTTATTTACATTCAGTTGGCAGGCGTCCGAACTTCCGGCACGCGAAATGCAATACTTTCAGTCTTACATTTTCTATCTCGCAGAACGTCACTTCCGGTTTACTTCACAGCTGGCAATGATCAATCTCAATCAGATAGTTTGATATCAAAGAATTTTAAATATTTTAACATAATTAAAATAAATTTTTCTATAATTATTATTTTCACGATTGTTTTCGCTTTGATTACGATTACGAAATTAATTTTGTCTTCTTTGGAAAATCGTGAAAGGAATTATGATCAAAGTGTATGTTTTTGAAATTAAATGTACGTGTTAGATATGTGCGTTTCTCAACAAATCTAATTATCATCATGTCGCTAAATTACCTGGTATGTCGGCGCCACCGCAACTACAATCCGGAAGCAGACAAACATCTTTGCGACACTTCGCTGCAGGTTTGTCAACCTGAGGAGTCGGGTAAATCGTCGCCGGTCTCACCGGAGGATACCTGTAGATGTCAACGAACTCCTGCGCCTTTGAGACTATCTCGGTTGATGGCTTTAAGGTAGGCCGGGATCGTCTGGAAACGTTAATTCGAATCGGTATAGAAAATCATTAAGTAATGTAATATAAGACTGAAAAGATTAATTGACATTCGAATGAAAGAAAAGAATATTCAATGTTGCACATCGTCGTGGAACATTTGCGAATTTACGTCACGGCGCTAAATCATGCTCCGTCGAAGAAAGCGGATTGACAATGAACTTACGGCGGTGCTGTACCCCGATGGATTTGCTGCGGCCGACCTCGGCTGGAAGAGAAGAGAGGCAAAATTTGAGCGTAAGATAAGAATCCGAGCATTTCCGGTAGCGCATATAAGGAAAATGCTTGTTTATTGCATGGTAGTGAAAGCGTGAGGGACTCGGTTTTGCCGAGAGCCGGGCGAAATCGGGTCTCGGCCGACGAAAATCGGCGCAGCGCCGTTCTTTTTTTTTTTCACACTTTACGCCAAGCGTAAATCCGATAAAACGATTGAACGGAAGTCGTTTATTACGTATAAATGAAGAACGTTTTCGTTCCCTCGCGCACCTTTAGTGTTCACAAAATTGTATAAAATAATACAAAAAGTATTCTGAATACGATAAAGAATCGCTGGCGAAGCTTGTTTCACAATGAAAAAACTCGATTAAAAAAAAAGAGCAAAAATTGTTTACACGTTATGCATTAGTTTACTTTGATTGATCAAAAAGATTAAAGTAAGATTCTTTAATTAAAAATACAAATGTCTATATTTGGTGCCGTTCAGTGGAAAAAAACCAAATTGTATTAAATCACCGCATGCAGATTAGGCACAAAAAATAGTGCAAAATAATGCAAATAATTGTATAGAAAAAAAGTCTCTTATACAAATTTATTTACCTTGGTACGTTAATGGTGTAAGGTCTGCTGGTCGTGCTGGGAGTTTGTGTGCTCGTGGTCAGCGGTATAAAAGTGTCGACGATGACGTTTGGCGTTGTCACGTGAACAACGGGATGGCTGAGCACGTTTGTCCTGCATATATGTAAATAAATTAATAAAAAAGTTGCGGTAATAGAGTCCTCCTCGATGACTGTCGAGTTCCGTTCCAATGATAACCTGATCCGCGCGGATGAATACTGGCAAGACGAGTCTTGAATTGTTTCCGTATTCGCGCGACGACTATTTATAATGATGATTAGATCGAGTGAACGTATGAACTTGACACTTCTACGTAAACCTAGTGATTTCGTAATAATTATCGACCCATCAATCATTATATGTTAGTCGTCTTACCCAATGATCTTAATGGTTTTGTCTGACCTTAATGACTTGAAACGGGGCCACTCGATTTTAATTGTATTCGCCAGATAATTGCGAAGCGATCAATTAAAGGGAAATAATTTTCTTACCTGAACTGTTGACCGTCGGATATGCGGAACTTGTTCTTATTGAGTTGAGCCTGTGAACGTAAAAATGGAGAAATTATTCTTAAAAGCTAGTGATATGCTCATTATTCAAGTAAGAATTAAAACTGTTTCAGCAGAGACGAAAGAATTTGAACAATTTTCAATTATTTTATTGAATCTATCTTTATACCTGATTTTCGTAGATATCGTAGTCATCATGGTTGAAATTATATTTATCCGCCTCGCCGACTTTCTTCGGTTTTTGATACTGCTTCGTGCTTACCTCGCTAATTTTTACGTTTGGTTGTTGTACTGGCAAAGTATGATTGACAGTATATTGATTGTAATCTGCGTAAAATGATTAAGATTATTGAGGATTATATTATCTTCTCCGAGTGCTAATTTCCAGCATTTTGAGATTATCAATTTTATTATATATATTTAACATGTATTTTTGAGAAAAATGTATTTCCCAAAAAATTTGTAGGCCAAAACATAATGGAATTTTATATATCTATTTAATATACATTTTATTTAATTTTATTTCTTCAATTCTTTATACGTTAAATCTTACATCCGTTTTAAAACGCAATCGACTCCAAATATTATTTATGTTTTGCCTACCATCGTCTTTGTAAATGGAGACATCATCATCGTAAATCGTGTAATACGGATAACTCTGATCCGGATCGCTATAATAAGACTTTGATATGATCGGTGCCGCGGTCGAAGTCAGAGTTTTAGCAAGTCTTGGCGATTCGGAAGTTGAAACGGGCGCCCTAAAATGTGAAAAGAGCATTATTAGGAAGAAACCAACGCGTTTCTCGCAAAACCATATCTGCTTTTAATCACAAAACTTTCGCGATAAAACATCACATTAACGTGTTATTTTATTACATAAAATTTGAATAAGAAGAGGACATGAAAAATATATGTGACAAATTTGTGTAGAATATAAAAGTCTCGAGAAGAGAAATCACGGCCAAAATAGAAATTTTATTTCATTGCGGCCTGTCTAATATATATGCTTCTTCTCTTAATAATGAATTACCAACCTGTAATGAGATTCAGTTTGGTCACGTGTGTTTACCAAGCTATCCTTCTCTCTCTCCTGCAACATACGCGACATCTCAATCTTAATGATCACTTCGTGGTATTCTTTAATTGCCGAATTGATTACTAATTAATTAAATTTATATCGGCATTAAATACAACACGCATTTCTGTTTAAATGGACAGATCTATTCTTTGCACCGGCGTTTTCACAAAGAAACTCGATGTCTCTCGTAAAAAATTGCTTATGCGATTGGAGCATATAAATATCTTGTTAATTAAACGGTGACATTGTGGTGTCGCGCTTACCGATATTATGTTCCGTCGCAGTCCGTCGCGGTCGCGTTGCACTTGACCGATCGTCGAAGGCTGTCCTCGGTACACTCGTTGCTGCCTATCATTTTCGACTTCCGAAGCGGGACCGTACTCGTCCTCATGATAATTAGTCCTCGAGTGCTGCCGCTGTCGCAACTGTCTCTCGGTGATCTGCGACACCGGCGCGGACGTGCTCGCAATCGTGATCGGTTGCTTCTGAATCGGTCGTTGTTGCTGCTGCTGTTGCTGTTGATCGCGTAGCTGCTGTCGTGGTTGTTGCTGCTGCTGTTGTTGTGGTTCTTGTAGTGTCCCGAGTTTCCCGGATCTATAATTGCGAAATGAAATTTTTGAGAATTTATTCGCCGCAAAAGGAGAAACTTCTTAAGAAATTCGTTATTTAATCAAATAAAAACTAAAATAGCTTGGCGTAAATATTTAATAACGTTATTCGAGCATAGAAAACAGCATTTAATATCGGTACAAGTGCCAGGCGATCAAGCGTAAAGTTGAATGTAAGAAAGTGAATCTACACACCTCCGTATAAACAACAGAAGTGATAAAAGTATTCTTAATTGAAGAAGAAATCATTGGGATAAGCATTCACTTTCATTTCTATACCGTTTCGAAACCAACGGTGAAACGAGCTTTCTGCTAAAAATTCTCGTAGGCGACGTATTCTAATAATTATATACGATCGTACGAAACAATCTTCCTAGAGCTTTCTTTTTAAATATCAAGGACGCTCGGAATTCAAGATGTAACGGGCAGCTGAAGAACTTCTTTCCGATTAGTCATGCACAATCCATTAATGAACACCCAGCCTGTTGCACATTGCTCAACTTCGGATTTATGTAACGAGATCCAGCTGTCTTTCGCGCTCTAGCTTGAAAAGACCTATTCCAATCCCTTACACTTCTACTTATCTGTACGACGAAAGGAACGAATTAATCCTAATAAATACAATTAAGTTGATTTGCATTATCTTTTTACACGACTTCATTCGTTTGTACAAGCTGGATAATTTCGTTTGTGCGGGAAAAAATTGTAAATCGTTGCAAACATCGCATATTTTCTTAAATTTTTATTTAGATATTATTTTAAACGCGCGCGATTTCGTTCTATCGAAACTAAACTTTCTTACGGGCCTTTTCGCATGCCACATTTCACTCAGTCGCCTTAATCGGTCGCGCGCGCTATTTTTTCCCTCTCCTCACTCTCACTTTTGCCTTTTTCTCCCATCGGTTGTCGCATTCGAGTGTGGGTGAAGCTCAAACGTGTGGTGTGAGCGGCCATTGTTTTGCAATCACGTCGAAAAATGAAATCTTACGTACGGAATGCAACACTACCGTGTCGTTTTTGTACAGAGATGCAATGTTTTTATAGTTCCTCGTGCTTTTAGTATACCATACATGTTCATACATATACACAATGAGAGGATTACAAAGGAAATATACTTCTAAATACAGGATGTTCCGCAACTCGCGTAATTTTAACAACAGTTTTTTTTGTTCAATTTGAATTGTTTCTTAGCAAAAGTGCTGGAAAAGATTATTGTAAATTTCTAGTTTTCGATATCATTTATTTTAGACACAAATTTCAAATTTAAATTACAGTGAAATTTAATCGAATGTTGATTAAACACTTAAACATTATAATTAAAAAGTATTTTTGGAGATGTATTGTTATGAAATATTGATACTCACCTTCCCAACAACGGATCCTCTTCGTCTTCCTTGCTAGACAAACTTCCTTCCGGGCAGCCTACATTTCGCGGCCAATCACATGTCTGCAAGTCGTGACTGAAAAGAGACAAACAAAATTTGAATTTTTTTTCAATCCTGATCGTTAGCCGTCATTAACTACTTATGAGAATATTTTACTAGCGATCACGCGAGTTCGCGCGTTTGTCGTGTCATTATGCGCGTTAAAATTACATTTGCATGACACGAAACGTATTATTTCCAATTTCACTCGTTTTATAACATCTTTTATACAATTCGATGACTTTTCCTTGATTATGCATAACAAATAATGTCACGCGTCTTTTTCTCCTCTACTTGTTGTAAATAATTAAGCTCGTAAATAAATCACATAATAATTGTATTGAATTTTGTTCTTTTTTATAAGTTCTATTCATCGTTTATTCTTTTTAGAGACAATTCGTGGACTCCTTGTGTCTGTTTGCTCCGCGATAAAATACCTCTCTACTTATGTGTTTTTAAGAATTAATAAACATTTTTGTAAAACTAAATTTTAATTGCCAGTTTTTGCTTGCTATTTGACGTGCAATTACGATCGTGATTAAGTGGTAAAATGTCCGCGTTTTAAACAGTTAAACGATTTATACAACTCGACATTAGGAAAGCGCATTTTCCGCGAATTCCGGACGGACTTGTTTATCATTGCGGACCGCATTTGGCGTCGCCCTCAGAGAATCGGTGTTTCAATTTTACCCGTACTTGGATATCGCGTTACCATTAAGCACCTTGGGAAATATCAATTCGTTTCAAAGCGGCGGTTCGTACACATGTTTGAACACGTGTGTGCACGAACAACTCATTCGTACACACGCGCTCAATCGTATCGGGCGAGATACGGCTGATCGGTTTTGTTTCTAGAATTGTACGCAGACACAGCCGGATCTCGTTTATTGTACAAATTTCAACGGTGAACCAACCTTCGACCAAGCGAGTTGGAAGCAGTTTGCAAAATGTTGAAACATCGTTAACATTTATCAAGACATGTTATTTATATTTTCTGCATATTTTCAGTATCATAGTTATTTTAACTTTAATGTGTGTTAAAACTTGCCGAATGCTTTTGAAGAGATGAAAAGTATTTCGAGTGAATTTTTTTCCGCGAAACTCGTTGCATTTTCAAATTTCCAATCCGCGAATTTACGAGAAAGTGCAATTTTGTTCACGCGAAATGCATGCCGCAGAAATCTCTCACGAATCTCATAATACGGCTCTGGGATCGCGCGCATCCGGCACCCGTCTGTTCCCGCTGAATAACGCATGCATACGCGACACGTTCTAACACTGTTCGCTTAAGGTTATCCCGCTGCTAATCTGCCACTATATTAGCTGATCAGTCCACGAACACGCTGAATCGTTTTCATGTTTTTTTTCCGTGAGTTTCTTCGCGCCGTTTCACGATGATAATCGCGATCCCGGTCGTCAACCTCGCGCAATTATGCATCTGCTGGCAGAAATTCCGTGATGAGCATTTTATTATCTCGGTATCTAATCTCAAAACTGAATTTAATTATTGAATGTGTTCCGTACATTTTTATCTATAAATCATATTACTAATAAAATCCGATAATAAAATCATTTTTAACTAAAATAATATTACTTATAATTATTCTGTCTTATCTATAATGTTAAATTGTCTTATCTATAAATTAATGTTTAACAAAAAATATACGTAAAGAATTCTATAATTAAATTCAGTAATGTAAAATATATTGTACATGCGTGCACGCGAAGCGTAATAGTAGAATAAATGCTTACATGGTATATTCAAGCTCTCGACGATAAATATTAATCAATTATGGTGTAATTATATTTTATACTATAAAGTATAAACACAGTAATTTTTTAAAAATCGTAAAAATTTCCACAGTTTTTTCCACAATCCAACACAAAACAAAGATCATAATATTCTATCTTTTTTTCTAAATATATTACTTTTGAAAGATGTTAATAATTTTCTACGAATCTGAATCGTTATATTATTGTTCTCAATTTTATTAATTTTATACCTGTACATAAGGCCTCCCGTGCAAGACTCTAACAAGGCGCCGCCGAAAACGCATACATAATACTGCGTGCAATCGCGCGGATGAGGATAATAGCCGAAATCTTCGGGACACTCGAATTCCAAGGCTGCCTCATTTCTGCTAGCTCTTGCGCTTCTCAAAGTACTCCGTTGACATCCTGAAACATAAAAAGATACATCTTAGCGTAAAATTCCGGACATGTTTCTACATTTGAAACTTTGCAATGCGTATTTTAATCAATTTATTGCTATTTATATTGCTTAAGCCAAGTAAAATCTCTCTTTTTCCCTGAATTACAATTAAATTAATGACAAATCGAAAGTTGCATCTTAAATTCTTCACGACTCTCCATCCGATTGCGCAATCGGACATACGTTTGATCCTATCGGAACTTATATGTATTCCTGCATAGACTATCCGATCCTGGATCTCTCTGTAGAATTACGAAATAAACTTTTTATGCAGTTCGCATTGTGAAACGGTAGAACAAAGAAAGTCATAGGAGCGCAGAGAGCAAATTGATAGACTTTATGCGGATACATTAGACTGACGAGGATTGTTAGTGTACCTTGCGTTTGAGCTATTGTGCAAAGTAAATTTTTTTTAAATTCGAGACTTTATCTGTGTTTGAAAAAGTTAAATGTCGCAAATACTGTGTACTAATAATTTTATCCAACAGCTTACAAACGCAAATTCATTAATCACACGAACAAAACATGTCAATGCTAGTAAATCACGATGTTGGTATAATTTATTTATCCCGTAATTTTGCGCAGGCGAGTTGAACTATTAAATGTGTCGTAAATATTTTCAGTTTCGAACAAGCGTACGCGATTGCTTGTCATATATCATCGTGTACGCGCTTGTGGCGTGTTGAAACGCAAATACGGTAAGTAGCGGCAGCAAATTGTGCAATGGAAAAGTGACCGGATTTTTGGTTGACCTTGCTCTCACACGTCCAGAGAATTCGAACGAGATTTCGAATGAGCGTATACGAGCGTGTATTTTATTATCGAAAAGTGTATTGATGAGAAATAATTCTAAAATTCTTTTCTCGCGAACAAATTTGTATTTTATAGCTTAGCTTAATTTAATAGTGAATTAATTTTTGTAAAATTAATCAAATAAATTAATATTTGTATGAAACTTTTACACAATATTTTAATAATAACAATTGAAAATAAACGATGCATAAGAAATGCATAAGTGGATGCATCATGCATGCATAGAAAATGCACGCGACAATGCTAATTTCTTGATGCGCGTACACGTAATATAAAAGACATGCACAAGAAAAATAGCGCACGTCGCGCATCTCGCACATTCCTGGATTTCATAACTGAGCTTCTCTCGCAAGAGGAAGTCCAAGACGGAGTTTCTTTCTCAATGAGGTTTTCCCTTTGATTATAGAGCCGGTTGATTAATAAGCGCCCCTAGAAACCGAAGTAATTGCGGCTTAATGAGAACGTGCAATTGCTTCTGAAGATATCGATATCAACGCTACTAAGAGCGTTTGCGCGTTCGATCTTTCAGCCAGCGGAATGCAAAACGCAGCGATGATCAACTACAACAAATTGAAGATTAAGAATTACGAAAGCAGGAATTAAAACGTGGATGTACGCATACATTTTCGCATTTTTCAATTTTGCTCTTCAATCAATGTGCTATATAATATTCTTCCGAATGTTTTTATTAATATTAAAAAAACTGCAACATATGTTAATAATCACCGCTATTCTAATCAGACGTAAATAGAACATTTTGAGTTTAGTTACGCAGAATTCGTACAATAGAAATACGTATAATATGAAAAATGTTATCATTATACGCTTGATGGTCTCCTTGTTTCTGAAATCTGATTTATACGCAACTCGAACGCAAATTATGCACGCGAGTCTTAGACTATGTGTTAATGCCTGTCTGCTGAAGTATGTTTTGAATGCACATGTCTGTTTCCCATACGCATACAGAGAGAACAACAGCACCGTTATATAATTATCATCGAGCGCGATGCGCGTCTAATGACGAGCAATAACGGATTTGCCTAATACACGCGCGAATGTACGCCGTTGTAACGGCGATTAAAATTAGGTAACTAGAGTGGGAAATATGGGAGAGAACTCAATCGCTGGGAAGGAGAGATCGAGACTGCGAGAGATTGATTTTCAAAGAATGCGACTAATTAAGTACGCGAGCAACTGAAATGAGCGGGATGCGAAGAAAATAACATCGTTAATTTACGATGCCGACATAATGACGATGAGTTTTATGTACACTAGTTAAAGTGCACCTACGTATTTTACGAGAAACTAAATGTACAAATGATAATTATTAGTTTCCTAGGCAATGTATTTTTCTTGCGAGAAAGTACGCGAAATTCATTTTTTCAAGTCTTCTGTTCCAATATTAGATGTCTCATAACTTGTGATTTTAATTTTAATGACAGATTCTCTGATCAATTTAGAATTAAATTTTGCAAAAATCGAAAGAAATTATCATTTATCGCAAATCTTAACATAATAATTAAAATTCTACTGAAGTAAAGCACATTAAAAATTGATTGTGAGAAAATATAGTTCTGTTCTTTATTCACTTCGCAAAAAGCCCTTTCTTTCCACACAGTCGCTTATAACGCGAAAACTATCGGTGCCTTTATATTCTCGCGAAGAGAAATCGACTTCAAATTTATTAAAGAATAATCTATTATTGTAATTAAAGTCGCGAGTTGTGAAACACCCTGTGTATAAAAATATCTGGAATGTACTGCAGGTGTATTTGAGTAAACTTTCGTTAAAAATAAACACGTGTGCAACGTACATCCGCATAATTATTTTCAGCGCCGTTGTCTTCCTGACGGCATTGAAAGTATCGGCTAGCCCAAAGTATTCGGTCGCGAAGGTCGCCGGGAAATGTCGGAGCACAGAAAAGCATTGCAGGTCTGCGACGGGTTATATGAACGTCCTCAACCGGATGTAGAAGGACGTGTGCCCGACGCGGGTAATTGACGTCAGTGTAATCGATCGCAACGCTAGATCCTGATATCTTTCTCTTTTACTGTCATAAACGAGGCGGTCGATCTCGAAATCCTTCATTTCGGCCTTGAAAGCGATTCGCAAGGTCGCAGTTTTTGCCCACAAGTTAATACAAAATCTCATTCTCGATGCTTTTATTAATCTGTTCACTGATTGAGAAATGTTCCATTTAAAAAATGCGTTAAAAATATAAACATATTAATCGATATTCCATAATATTAACATTTATAAATATTTTTAGATATATAATATTGAAATAGCTGCAACAAAAATAAAGGATGTAATTTAATATGTGAGAAACATTTCAAAGATAGATCCAGCATTTACAAACAATAAAATAAGTTTATATAAATATATATCAAGTTTTACCTTGTTTGCAAGTTAGAAACTTTCGCATGCTCTGAAATAAAATATGAAGTATTCATTTTTCAATCATCTCACCTTGATAATTTTATGTAAAATTAATTACGTAAAATTAAGAAACCAATCGATTAACAATTATATTTTTCCGCGCCAATGTATTTACATTTATTTCTTAAATAAGCATTTTTTAATCATCTGAAATATTTATTAATTATATAAAAATCAAATGTTAGTAACTTTTTGCACTAACAAGCTAAAGATATATTTGTAATTAATTGAGCACTTGAATAGCTCAGAGTTTGATGGATTACTGTTAGATCATTTTTCAACTTCTTCGATACATATTTTACAATCCACGCGCGGAATTTTCGCAATAATGAAATTTTCCATGCTGACATTTGACGTGGAAGTAGAATTATCTGTGAAATATAATGCCGCCAAGTATTTGCAGCTAGCGCGACATCTACTGCAAATAATATGTTCTAGAAAGGTGCTTACATTAGCGAATAATTTACCACGATGTGGATGCGAGAACGTTGCACCCATTGCATACAAAGGATTAAATGTCAAGTGGAACGCCTCGCATAGATGCGTATCGACCTAGAAATCCTCAAATGATGCGTCGCGATTGTTAAAGTGATGCAAAGCGCATCGAAGCCTTTTATTAGCTATATTTAACGCATCCGTTGTAGCGGAATTAAACCGCACTAGCTGAAATCAGTGCATTGATTAGTAATTACGAAACCACTTATCACATATTTCACATTGCTTTCAATGCACATTCTACAATAACATTTTTCTACAAATAAGTATTACATATTTGCGAATTAAGAAATTCAGCAAATTGTTTTCTAAGTTTAACAAAAACGTTCAAATAACAGATCAGTGAAGATTCAAGTAATATATTGCCACGCAAATTTTCAAGTGCGATAATAATATCACAATATATATTTTTATTCAGCAATATTAATTAATTAACATTGTATTTATCAATGTTTTTCTCATTTTACTGCTTACTTAGTTTCTCCAGATTCTTTCTTAATGTATTTTTTTTTAAGTATAAAGCTAAAAACAATGTCTGTAGAAACAAGTATCGTGTTGCAGTCTTGATAATGCCAAATAAATGCGGATTTGCCGGGCGTGCGCTCGACTCATTGCGATGAAAAATTGCAAAAGTCTTTTAATGTCCAGTGTAAATGTGTTTCGTAAGAAAACTGCGGTTTTCGGGCGACGCGCTTTTTGTGAGAGAGACACTCGAACAATTTTCACACGATAGGGCACAGGCAGAATGTAGATGCGAACCGTTGCACCATTGAACGATGCAGAATTGCAAACAAAACTGTACGTTGCAACTCTCTGCTGAAGAAATGTCAAGTTATCGTTTTGCTAAACAGCTAAACTGACTTTCATAACCAATTATTGCATAAGAAATATTATATATAAAATATGATTTTTTTTGCGTTTGTTGTGACTTTTATAAAGAAACACAATGGTGAGAGAGAGAGAGAGAGTTATTTTGGCGTACACACAAAGGATTATTTCCCTTCAGCGCAAGACGCCATTTATTAATGTCTCAAATTATCGTGCATTTGCACAACGTGGCATTCAAAGTAACCAGGGCCGAGCGCCGCCAATGAAAGGGCGTTACCAGGAAATCATGGAGCGCGTACTCTCCTTACAAATACATTACTAACAAAATTGCCATCTCGTAACGATCCGTACACGATTAGCACGCACGGCGCTGACGTGATACGCTAATATA